GAAATTTGTGGAAAATTACTTAATTTTTGAGAGGACCATTTTTAAAATGAAATTGTGTCAAATAACCAAACCTATCAAATAATTTTTAAGTATCTGTAATCATATTTGTGATGTTGAAAAACAATCTTTAAAAATCATGAAAAGTGAAAATTGAGTTTTATTAAAATTATAAAATAAAGCTTTTTGTTCTGCAGTGAGTTCATTATAGTGTGATAGGTAGTGTTATATGGTTTAAAAAATCTTATCTGTAAAATGAGTTGTACTCAGATTGAATAGTTCTTAGTGTGTGCTCAATGTTTTAAAACACTGAACAAAGCTGTTTTGGTTTTGATGAGTTTATTATATTAGGTACTTTAGGTAGTTAAAAAACTGTGCTACAAATTGTACATGGGTTGAATAGTTTTAATAGTATGCTCACTGTTCAAAAACAGGCATAGGCAGATTTCCCTTCATACTTAGGTGCTTTTAATAAAGCCCATGTTTTCAGCAGTTCTAATTCAGCAGTTCAGAACTGTATTTGAATGCATAGGAAATGTTTTTCCCAAATAAAGTCTTGAGATTAAACAACTCAAAATTTCAAATCTTTTTTTGTTATGGTTTGAGATTAAAATATTGTTTGGGGCTGTGGTGGGCAGCTGCAGTCTGTTTGCTGCTTTTAAATACTAGCCAACTACTTTTGATGGATTGGACCGAACACAGTGTTTCTTGGATTTTGTTTATAGCTTGTGCCCTTCTTAAACATTTCAACTATTTTTCATAAAGAAAAATAAAATCGTGTGAAGAATGGCAAACTTGTGAGAGTATATTGGGGTACCTTTATGCTTGGCATCAGCTTTTAAATAAAGACATGTAATCTGATGTATGCCTCTTTGAACAGGGAGACGGGCAGTGAGAAGCTACAATGCCAGGACGAAGCTGTCCTCCTGTGACCTTTGTGGAGACGCCCCCTGCCATGCCTGTTCTGGAGCTTCGGACTCCCTGTGCTGCTCTGGGCTCCTTTTCTCTTTCTGTTTACTGCTTCTGTATTTCGTGCAACATAGATCGTGATGTATTTTTCACGGACTCCATGTAGAACTAGCATTTCCAGAAGTCAAGTGTGTGATTGTTTTGTTTCCATAATTGATTACTGCCTCTGACTGTTCTGAAAATCAGCTATGTTCTTTGCACAGGGCTAGGGGGATGTCTGTAACACGCCTAGCATGTAGAGTTGCACCAAGCTCTTCACCTGACTTTTGTGGAAGATGAATCGGAATGACAGCACTTCTGTATCTTTATTTCCCCCTCTTGAAACTTATTTTTGACAAGTATTTGTTTTCTCCAGAATAAAAGTGTTATTTTAGATTATTATTCTTGTTTTGTAAAAGACGTGGCTATAGGCTCTTAAGCACACCCTGCTTCGGTGTTTGCTTTAGCATTTTGGGGCCAGGAGGAGCGTGTTCCTTTTCTTCCCTCTTCTAGCCCAGACTGCAGGATCTGGGTCTCAGCGTGGCTTTCGGAACTTGGCAGTCATTGATCCTCTGTCAAATGCAAGTGGTGAAATGGTCCTTCTTGTTGGATCTGATGAGGTGCCCTGGGCTTTATCTTTCCACACTTTCTTTTTCTCCTAGGGGAGATAGAGTGGGGCAGTGTGTTTTCCTGTGCTGTGCTGCTCTGGATGAGGAGGCACTGACAATTGCCCTCATGGGTCCTGGAGTGCTCTCTCCCCTCACTTCCTCAGCCTCACCCTGGCTCTGTTTCATGGGTGAGAATTGTAAAGCACTGTGAGATGAACCTATGTGACTTGGAACAAAAGAAGTGGGCCAGGAGACACTGTGAACCAGGGCTGGAAGCAATTCTGTGTGGCAGCAGATCCCCTACCCTGGGCCTGGGAAAGAAGCTTGAGGGTGATGGGTCCTGGAGACCATCAATGTGACTGCTGCTCTGAATTACTGTAGAGCTGCCCCTGGACTCAGTACAGCCTCTTCCAGGAACAAAGATTGAGCATTAGATGCCAGTGTCCAAGGATGCCCAGAGACAGAAGATCCCTGAATTCTGGGTTATACTTATTCTGAAGTGTGAAATTGGTTTATGTGGCTGAGAAGTTTAAAATCATTTTCTGGCTTTCTTCTCTTTCTTTTCTCCTTCCTTTCTGAGTATATTGACATAGTTTCTATATAAGGATTCACCAGTCATGGTGACACAGAGTTTTAGTCCCAGCACTCGGGAGGCAGAGGCAGATGGACTGAGATCAAGGTCAGCCTAGTCTGTATATGTAGACACTGTCTCCAAAAACAAACAAGCAAAAAATTAAGGATAAAAAAAATCGAATCTAAGAAATGGTTTGTTTGCTCCTTAAATTTATGGCTTTTCTCTTGAGTGAATATGTAAAAATAATTGCATGGACTCCAAAGGGCTTGCTTCATAATATTTTCATCTATCTAAAAATATGTCTATTGATGGTGGATTGGAAGCTGCCTCTGTGTGACGAGAAGAAGGGTCAAGATACAAAGAATAGACTCTATGTCTATAAGAGAAAGATCTGGGGGGGATGGAGAGATGGCTCAGCAGTTAAGAGCACTGACTGCTCTTGCAGGAGACCTGCATTCGATTCCAAGCACCCACATGGCGGCTACGAACCTTCCTTAATGACAGTTCCAGGGGAATCAGACGCCCTCTTCTGACCTCCATGGCATTGTGTGACACAGGTGCACTCACATACATTCAGGCAATACACTCATACACATAAAATAAAAATAAATAACATTTTAAAAAAAGAGAGATAAAGATCTGGAAAAAAAAAGCAAGCTGAGGCGAGACAAGGTAAATCCTCTGTGTGCGAGCAGGCAGGAGCTGCCGTCACCTGGTCAAACTCATGCGCATGCTACACTGGAGTTAGCAGTGGCCTCCAGGGAAGGACTGCATGCTCCTGGACATGCATGCCACAGAATGGCCAACCTGAAGGAGCCTGACCAGAGACTGACCCATGGATGGAAGTGGGCAGAGAGGTGGAGTGAGCGGTGCTGCCTGTGGAGACTGTCAGACTGTGGCTCCGGAACTTAAAACAGATCTTCTAGGTGCCCTAACTGAATTACCCGAGAAGCTACCATCCCTGTCACTGCCTTGGTGATTCATGAACTCTAGAAGTGTGATGAACTTGGAACAAGCCAAAAAGAAAAAGAAAAAAGAAAAATAGCTAAATACAAATAGCTGGATCCAGTTGAGAACACCCAGGGACAAAGGTAAGCACACATATGGCAGGGCCTTCTCCTGCCCGACCCTTGGGCACTGACAGATACCAGCCTGTAGAGCCTGATAGAGAAACTACTGGGGATGGGAGAAGCCACGTTCAGTCTCAGTGTGATGAACAACAGATGGATGGTAAAGTATCTTTTATCTCATCGTATTTCTTTTTTAAAAAAATATTTTATTTATTATTTTATGTGTATGCGTGTATTGCCTGCATGTAGGTAAGTGCATGCATGTTGTGCAATGCCTGCGAAGGACAGAAAAGGCTGTCTGATCCCCTGGAACTGGAGTTACAGACAGTTATTAGCTGCCATGTGGATGCTGGGATTGGAACCTGGGTGTTCTACAGGAAC